GTCATCACTTTGCAGTTGTTACAAATCAAATAGTCCAATAATTCAATATTGAAATATTGAACATTTATCAAGATAGTGGTCATCAGACACCTGTAATAACGTGAAATGGTAGAAAACAATTTAATGATTATAAAATGAACGTAGCAACCATCTTACATAACATCCCAGTTAAGTCTGATGATTATCAGTACGTGCCTGGTCTTTAAATAACTCTTAATTATAATCTTAATGAGAATCCTTACAAAATAAATAATTGCAAATCTATGTGGTATTAAGACAATTAAATATTTATTTATTTATTTATTTATTTAAATTTACAAGTAGTTGCATATTTATTTATGTAAATATTACCTTTTTAAAGAACACTATATGTTATTTCTCCGAGAAAATAAATGTCTACCAGTCTTGGGTGTGATTGTTATCTTTAAACATGCTGAAAATATAAATAAAAGTGATGTATGAAAATAAGGAACATAAATATTGTCTTACAAAATATATAAGAAAATGCCTTATAAGACAAACCTTACCAAAAAATTAGCATGCGAAAATGCCCTATTACTTATAAAAGTTATTTTAACAGCTTTAATGTAGCTCAGATTTATCAGTTTGATACATTTTGGTGTAAAGAATGAAACTAAAATCTAAGGTTTAAGAAAAACAAGTTAAAAATAGTTTTCTTAGCATAAAATTTAACCTAGCCGACAAGCGTTGTATGTGAAATCCCCATTGCCCAATGTATTGATGATTTTATTTATCATATAACTACATACTACACGAAACACATCATTATTTCCACTGTCAAAAAGAAAAAGCATACCTGATCTTTGAAACTTTCATAAGAAAATCCGAGTTTTCTCCGTTTTTACTTTCTAATTTCACTCCTAAAAATTATCGGGCATTTTCGCGGAACAAATTTTTCATCCAAAAATTATACGTCTTTTTCTCACATGGCAATAAATTCACTTTCCGATTGGCTATCTAAACGGGTGTTTTCGCACAATGCGCGCCTCGGTTTGTTTGTCAAGGAAATGACCTAAAACGATTTTCGCAAAAATTGAGATAGGGCCTTTTCGAAGCCCACCGACGGCATGTTTTTCACGTATTTGCCGTTTCTGTTAAAATGAAATTTTTGCCTTGATATTTAATCAATATTTCAAGTTTGAAATTAATATTTGTGATGGTTTTGGGGAAACAATATAAAAAGGGAGATAATTAAGCAAAAATGCCTTTCAAGATCATCTTAATATTCCTTTAGAAATGCATTTTACTTTAATATGAAATAAGTATTTTATGTTTGAACTTTTTTGAGCAATTGGCCGTAACCAAAAGGTAAATCAATGCGAAAACATAATCGAAAACTTAACCAAAAAGGTTAACCAAGTCATAAGTGATTGCATTTGGAAACCCGTTGAACATTTCAAAACAAGACAATGTCAAAACCAGAGTTAACCTTCTTATAAAATATTTACATGTTTACGTCCCCGCGAGGGGTTTGACATTATCGGAAGATAGATAACAACCGCATGTATATTGATTACAGTAAGAATTTACAGCAACCTGATTAATAAAATCAGCTCCTAGCTAACGATACGCTACAAGTAAACATAAGATTTGAACTTTTATCATGTTGAAATTAACAGTACATTGCCGTCTATCACATTTAAATGCATTGCCTGCAGTTGTATTAACAAACATATTAGCGAAACAAAGTAACCACAATTAAATGATATCATATTTGACATTCAAGTATCTTTCATAAGCATTAGCTTAACTGTTATGTCACTGGTTTACTGTATGTACTGTATGAAAATTGTTTGGTCTTTGGGCCCTGGATCAGCGGGTTGGAGTGCTATATTTTCCTTGAATACTTAAGTTGTTCAGATGTGTGTTGAGGAACATCAGTCATTGATAAAATAGAGAAAAAACGAATCCCTAAAAAAAGTCCAAAACGGCAAAATTGAAAATGTTGCAGGTTACGTTTGATAAAGCCCAAATTAACACTGTCCCGGTAATGGCCACGGTATCGCTACTGTGTCTTAAGCCGGTTAATCGGGGTGTTCCGTGGTGTTTTTCTGAGAAATCAAACACCCCCCGACAGAGTCCAGGTGTATTCCTGGTTCAGAACCTGATATAGCACAGGATATATACGATAAGCGCCGATGCTAAATCGGTGTATTCCCGCTTGCTTCCGGTGGAGACCCGATTAGACACGGTTTCATCACTGTCCATCCCGACCATCGCCGATTTTGCCATCTACTGGTGATGCCGGTACTGTGCCGGTGAAGCCCCGGTAATGCGCCGATGCTTCCGGTTCAAGTTTATGAGAATAAAACTGCCTGACTACGTTGACATCAGTCGTTTGGTAAAAAGACAACAGAGATGCCATCCGAAGGAAAGGGGATGGAACATAGAAAATAACTGTGCCTACAACACCTTCAGAGGTTGAGGTACCTGAAGCTAAAAATGCACCACCTGAAGATTTTTTTTTCCTACTCTCATTTAACAAATTGCCCATGCTCGTGTTACTTCTCTAAACAAAATGATCCAAAGTAGGACCTCAAGTTTATATATTCCTGTTCTTTACATTCCCTGTTATCGGCATAAGGTGGTTACACCACCGTCTATCACCGTTGTATAACCGTACTTGTCGGCAATATCCGGGACATTACCGACTCCAACCGGAGCGTTGTTGCCAGTGACCTCAATGTTCCCTGGCTCTACCGTAGCTCTGCCAACATTGTGTCATCACCGGGGCTTTGCCGTTTGGACATTTATTTACACGCATCCCGGTTTAGTACGATTTGTCACGGTATGGATGCGGTATAGATACGGTGGTTTCCCGGCAATTCCCTGTTCCAAGCCGATAGAACACGGTTTTGAGCTTCCTCCCGGTGAGTGCCGGTGGGCCCCGGTTGTATTAAACATTTAAATACAACCGTGACAAACTCTCAGTTTGTTCCGGTTCACCATGGTTTGTCCCTTTACTTCACGGAATTGCAACGGCCCAACGCCAGTTTACCACGGTTGATCCCGGTTGACTAAACCGTGGCAAACCGGGACACCAAACTGGGACTGTGTAGATGGGGCTAAAACCGCCCGTGTATGACTGTATTACTATAAGTACTAGCAAGAAAAAAGGGTCTTCAAATCAATGAAATTACTTAAACCGAATTCTGATCGCGACAATATCATAATACCTTTAAGATGTTGACAATCAGGGTTATAAATGAAAAATACTTATCTATTGAGACTTGAATTTCAATTGTATCTTTCTAGAATACGCTTTCTAGCGTCAATATTACATTATTTAGCAGCTCAAAACCTCGATATTTAGGATCATAAAAGAAAACAATTAAACAAAAATACTTTTTATCAAATGGCAATTACAGTAAAAAAAACTATGAGAGCGTTAAAAAGTAAAATACTACTCCTTTTTATCATGGGTTTAACATGAATTTATATCTTGCGACATTTAACGGTAGTGTTGCGACATTTAACGGTAGGGGAAATTCGTGCGACATTTAACGTTAACATTGCGACATTTAATGGCAAATAAGTTTTCGACATTTAGCGGCGGTTGCGACATTTAGCGGCAATGATGCGACATTTAGCGGTAAGTGCGACATTTAGCGGCGTTGCGACATATAACGGCGTCACATACATCTAACTCTAGCATCACCTGCAATAAGTAAGGAAACTACTCTTGTTGACGACATTTGTGGGCAAATTAAAGATAGGTCAGTAATTGTGCCTTTCCAACCGGACATTATTTATCACTTGCTTTATTTTCTGTTTGAAATTTTAAACTATAACTAAAAGCTCGTAATACATAAGAAATATTATGAATTGTTTCAGTTTTTTAGCTTATCTGCTTCACGTTGTTCCGTCAGCTTCTGTTGTGACACAGCTCTGATTTTGAAAACTAGCAAAGTGGTTTAAATCAATCAAACCGAGTGTGCGACATTGTCGACATTTGTCGTTTTAGGCGTTCTTTATGGATTCAATTTTTCTCTATTTTAGTGGCTGTCTATGTAAGTAAATAAATAGTTATGTATACTTGTATGATATATTTGGACACATTGTAACGACCAAGCAATATAAATAGTGCAAAGGTTAAAATTTGAGAAGGTTAGCAATGTTATCTTTAAATTAAATATCTACAATATGTTGTTTCCCAGAGAAGCTTGCTGTATTAAAATCACCGTGGTATACCGGTGTATTTCTGTTACAGTTCGCGTGTAAAGGATACAAGAGGTAGTAAAAAAGTTCATATGTTAAACAAATAAACAAGAATCGGAAACGAGTTGAATGTCGTACATAGTTAAATGTTAAGACTATACAAGCGTATTTATAATCGCTTATTCAAATTAGAATTTCTATTGTTAACCACTTTTGAAATGTTCACACTTTTAAAAATGATCCAATACTTTGGGATAGAAAATAATCTAGCGAGAATGTTAAGAAAATATTTTTAGCGAATTAATTAATTCAATTAGCAATCATACACATTCTTTGCTGTTTAAAACTTCTGCTAATTAACCGAAACTTTGATTTATTTTTACACATATTTATTTAAAACACCAGTATAATTCTTAAAGGGACTACATTTACGTAACAGTACTGAAACATTTGATCGAGTTTTGTGTTTCATTTGATGTAGGTATTCTGTGCAATATCTAGGATCATTCGCTCGGTCAGTTTTTTTAAAGAATATAATGATTTAAATTGTGTAAATCATTTAAATAGGAATTTTAAACGTCTTTCAATCAGAACTGTCTAAAAATCTTTTAAGAATTTATTCTGAATAAGTTCTTTATTCTGTCCATTAATTCGTTGAAATATCCAACTGGATGTGTAAGGATTTATGCTTCTGGATCTCAGCTTATCTCCTTTAAATGGCGAACAAGACCGACACTTGTACAGGGTGAATATGATATATTCATTAAATAGTTTATCATATTACAAATGTACGTCCCATATTACTCTTTGACATGTGTTCCTCTTTTAAAACTCACCAGTGTTAAACTTCAAACGTGAAGCATGATTGTCGGTGTCAACAGCGTTTTGGTTCTTGTATTTTGTTTTGTGACAATTGAAATGTTACAAGCATCACAAACCGGTGAGATAGTATTTGAGTTAGCTACCGTTGACTATGAGTGGAAAACTGAGTGGGAAAAACAGACACTTTTGTTCAATGGCAATTATGTTGTCGAAAATAACATAATCACAGGGATAAAGGTACATAAAGATGACGTATTTGTAACGGTTCCGAGATGGCGCCAAGGAGTTCCTTCGACTCTAAACGTGCTTGTTCCTCGAACAGGAAAGTCGCCCGTTTTGCGGCCGTTTCCTAGTTGGGAAATGAATAAAATTGGCGACTGTGATGCATTTCAGTATGTTCAGAGTATGGAAGTAGATCCGAACACAGGGTACATGTGGATTATTGATATTGGGAAGGGCTCTCCATTACCCTCACAGAAAAACTGTCCACCAAAACTGGTTGTTATAGAAATTGCAACAAAGAAAATGATAAAGAGCTATACATTCCCGGCAAACGTAGTTTCTCCAGTATCCAACTTTATGAATGATATTATGCTGGATTATGTTCAAGGACAAGCACGCTACGCATACATCACCGATACACGTGACGCAAAATTGTATGTTTATGACGTCATCAATAATATGTCGTATTTTTTCGTTCACGAAACAATGAAGGCACAACCTCTCATACCTGGTTTACAAGACAATCTGATATCTGCTCCAATTGATGGTATTGCAATGTCTGCAGATTTTAAGTTTGTGTACTATACCCCATTGACAACGCATAAACTATACGCCGTCCCAACGTCAATACTACGTAACAAAAGCTCAGAATTTGGCAGGCACGTAATAAACGTCGGAAACAAGAGCGGTGGTTCGGATGGAATGGTTTGCGGACAGAGATCAATATTTTATGCAGGATTTGAACAGAACGCTGTCTATAAAGCAACCGTACCTAAAAATGACGTTGTTTCTATGGGTACAGAAACGTTGCTTGTTGCAAACAATTCTTCTGTTGTTTGGGTGGATACTTTTGGTTTTAATGGAACAGATCTTTGGTTTGTTGCCAATAAACTGAATTATTTTAATAAACATAAAATGAGTTTCTCTGGAAATGTCACAAATATGTTTATATGGAAGATAAATGTGGATGAAAATAGCTATTTGTACAGGGCAATTGAAAGAACCGCGAAATCGATGGTACCGGGGTTGTTTGGTTGAATGTAAAGAAAATGAATATTTTTAGGAAATGATTAATTCTTACATCATTATACGAATGACTAGTGACGATTTTTGAATTTCAGACTTCGCACTCTCATAGATAATCTGTTAAAAGTATGAAGTTTGAACGTAAAGTGTGATGAGTATGGTATGAATTTCGATGTTTGAATTCTGAAGTTTGATATTGGAAGTATGAAGTTTGTAGTATGAAGTCTTAAGCGTGAATGTTTTTGAAGTCTAAAGTGTGAAGTACGGATGTATCTGTGTATATATGTGTGTATGCGTTTGTGTGCGTTTGTGTGCGTGTGTGTGCACAACAATCAGGTATCGAGAGTTGAATGCTCTGAATTGAATAAATTGTATTGTCAACAATGTAGTGCTTATTTATTCATATTACACCTAATATGACATGTATGAAACATGGAGTCATATTTAATAAATTATGTTGCAAAAGGGATCAATTTGATACAATGTAACTTGAATTATCCCGGGCAAAAGAACTAATTTGGAAAAAATGGCATAAGCAGGCAGAGGAACACCACACAAAAATAGGGCCGGGAGTAGTGGTCAGTAAATGAAAAGGAATGGGCATGTCAACGTGCTTAAATACAGCACAAGGGTAAACAAAAATCTAAACTCATGTGCATATTGTTGCCATACTCGTTCCATTGAATATGGATAAACTATTTTGATTTTGAATAAATAAATAAGTTTTATGTTTTGTACTGTTAATCATTTGTTGCAAATGTTATTGTTTTTAATACAAATAAAAACGTCAGACTTCAAACTTCACACTTTAAACTTTAACTTGGTCAATTAATATTTAACTTTACATTACTTAACACAAAAAAGAAAAAATAACATTACAGTACAGGAACACAGCTTCACAAACGTATTCTTTTTTATGAGATATTTTTAAACGCAAGGTAAGTAAGTACGAGTAAAATGTATTAAGTACTAGTTCATTTAGTGTTTTTTACATAAACTATGTTAACTATATTGACAAATGTTTTGTTGACTAATGCTAATATTAATAAAGCTTTTTCTTCCTGTGAAATTAAATACGTATCACTGACAGTCAATCTAATCGAAATCAGCTCAGCTCATAATAAATTTAAATGCAAGAAAATATTATTAAGTAGATCCGAACTTTAGTCTTGATGACAGTTTGCCGAAAATGTTTTCCTGCCGTGCGCTTAATTTCCATAAATTAACATAAAATTAAGTTTTGCTTTTTAATCTATGTTGCCTATTCTTCGACCCATGAACTTAATTTGAGCAGCATATTTATAATTTAAAACCATAACAAAATTGTGTAACAGGATCTTTACGAAATGAACGGCCAAAGAAATAAATTTTATAGCTTATGTGTTATTCATTGAAACTTACTGATGTTAACTTGATCATAAGGAGTTCGTGTGCACATTGAGCAGGGCTAGCAGTTGCAGATTTTTTTCTTTGAGCCAATTTTTTTTCGCGGTGCTTGTCCAAAACATCTTAAAATTAATTTCAGAGATAACGACTCTATGAAGAGTTACGCCATGCATTGACACCCGCGTTGTATTTCAAAGATAATTCAACAAACACACATAAAACATTCGATAATAAACCAAATCTTAAAACTTTCGATTTTCATAACTGCATGTAAAGCATTCATTATAAGAAACAGAAATAATGACATAACTACGAGACAGAATATAATTAACTTTCATTTAAAATAAGCCTTGTGTAGTGTATTACAAATGTTGACATGGAAATGCAAATGTCATCAATATAAGAGTCGTACTGACTGAATAAACGTGAAAAAGTTTGAAATAAATTACAGTCTGTCGATGTATATCATTGTGAAACGGTGTTTCTCTATAAAAGTGTTAAAAGTTCTGTACTTTTGCGCTCTGTTATGATCTGTTCCCAATATACCTAAGCTATAGTTTAGTTACAAAAGCTGACATAGCTCCACCGTCTATAATGTGGGTTGTTCCGAACACCATCGAGGAGAAATCACTGAGCAAATATAGAATTAGGAAAACCACTTCGTTTATCTCTGGAAGCCGTCCAAGCGGTGTTCTCTGAATAATAGCGTCATCAATAGGTAACACGTTTTTATAAGGTGGTGTACATACTCAGTTTTGATAAGTGTCGGATTAATGTTGTTTACTCGAATGGCATATGACCCCAACTCCAGCGCAAACTGCTTTGTGACCATGTCAAGAGCTGCTTTCGATGTGGTGTATGCTAAATGATGTGGTAATCTCACTTGTGATTATATGCTTGAAATTTTTACAATTGATCCTGTTTTTTTGCAGCAATCATTTTCTTTGCGACGATCTGGGTAGTGTTTATTGACGCAAATAAGTTTGTTTCAAATGTCTTCTGTAAATAATCAATAGAAACATCCAACGCAGGACAGTATTTTTCTTCCATTAGTGCCGCATTGTTTACTAGACCATCTAGAACTTCGATACCTTCAAGTTTGACCCTCAAATCGTTCCAATTTCGTACGACTGCTTGTATCGTGTTTATATTCGAATGTTCTCCCGCCAAAGTGTCCAGAGTCTCCTTAGTTCGGCCTAACGCATAAACTTTGCAACCTTGATCACTCAAAATCTTAGAAAGCATTCTACCAATTCCACGGCCTGCTCCGGTGACCAAGTATTTCTTTCCTGCTATATTAAAACACATTTTAACAATCAGACGCTTTTGAAAAACAAACACTACACAATACCTATTCCTTTCATTTATTATAATAACTATAATTTTAAAATCTTAGTTATTGAATGTTGTAGGTTTTTAAACTAGACGATGAAACTTCGATAAAGACATCTACCATATCAAGCATGCATTTATATGGGATCTAAAAACATATCTGTTAAAAGGATTTTGTATTTTATAGCTCGTATCAGATATTTATATAAAACTTTCTAGTTTACGCTAATCTTTGAAATGCATCAACGCTTTTTAAGTAGTTCTACCACGCATCTTTAATGTTTTTTTTTCTTTTTTAGAGATGAGATGGGAGGTGCCCTTTGGTGCATTATTTCAGACACCGGCGGGCACCTGAATAGAACAATCGGCGTTCCGAAATTTATTTGATAGCTTCCTCACGTAATGCAATCAAAAGTCCCAGTCGATATTTGAACTCGCAGCAATGAATGACAGATGGTTTGAAGTAAACGAACAAGAGCGTACGTTGAAAATAAGCCCAGAACATGCTTTTCTTATTGAATATCCGGTCGGAAAATGTTACGATATACATGTATCTAGGATTGGAAGAAATATCCTACTACAAATGTAGTCTATTTCAAATAATGAGCGTAAATGGCAACGATTTTTAACTCGTTAGTAATTAAATGCAGGCATATGATTCATACAAACACTAATGCTGTCTTATTTTAATTCAAAAGAAGAATAGCCTTTTTTTATATCTTTTCAACATTATACAATTTTGATCCACGAAAATGAACTCATCATCAGCAGTGTACACTCATCCATTGTACAGAAAAAGTAGTCAGAATTGTTTTACCAAAGTCGCCGAGAGATTTGTCTCTATTATTTTTCCAATTTTTATGAAAGTTTTCAGAAATGAACTATCTTCTCATTCGCCAGACAAAGTCAATAAAATAAAATATTTATAAAAATTGAATTCGATTGCATAGTTTTATTTCAATTTCCATCAGCTTGAAATACAACTTGATCAATTTTCATTTTTACAAATTAACGTTTCATACAAGCCGTCAATGGTTACTTGAATGACTCTGTACTTCTACTGCATAACTTTTGATTTTTGGACTTTCTGATCGAAGATCAGGAAATACAAAGCTGACAGTCACTCGATCTCTGACACAGCGGGTTCACGACAAACCTAACAACAAGTAGTTCTTATACCGATTAAACAACATATGGAAGTTGCTCATTATATTTTTCAAATATTATCCATTTGTTAAAGGATTGGGCATGCTTATATGTATAAGATAAACTAAATGATAACTTATTTCATGTCTTTGACATAGCTGCACTGAGAAAAAGACACCGGGGCGCATCTTGGCTCATTTTTAGTATTCTTGGGTTAAAGTGTCGCTATTACTAGAGATTTAGGGGGAATCTAAGCGATGAAATGTCATTTAAATATAATAATAATATATTCTTTATCTTTAGTAATGAAATAATATCAAGTATTCAATGTAAGAGAAATATACATGTAGTCAAACGTAAACACTGCTTTACATAATTTAAAAGTTATTTACCATTAGAAACAAAATATAAAGTCAATTGTCACTATTGTAATCAAGATGTTTAACAGGTTCTTTTCTTATATTTGATTTTTGTTTGTTTCAACATACTTTCAACATACTTAAACATTAGATATAATCAAGGAACATTTCGCTTTAAAATGATCTGACTTACGATAAACAAACACAACAGACTAATTGTTTTAATGTAACAATAAACTATAGTATTCACACCACACGTGAAAATTAGTATCATCATAAAGATCCTTTAAAAATAATAATTTAAGAAGTGCGCATTCTGTCACTATAGTTTTAACAGTATGATCGGCAAATAACAGTTATGAGAGAAATGTAAATCATATCATATATAAATATATTTCAAAGGGGATTTGAGGGTATGAAACCTGCATACCAGACAAGACGTCAAAAAGGATCATAAATACAATATTCAAGTAGGAATACTGGAAACACCCCAGTTGAAAAAGTCAAAGAAATATTTTGAGTCAATTATCTCCTGAGCGCATGCGTGACGAGTGACATAAATTGTCAGTGCATCTGTTTGGTCTTTTCTGCCAAACTTTAACAAAGAAATTTGAAAACAACAGTATGAATACATAGAGGATATTTGTTTAGTTCAGTGTAAGATCGGAATATATTTCACCGAGTGAGCACCAAAAGGTATATTTCACGAGTGGCGCAGCCACGAGTGAAATATGAACTTTTGGTGTTCTCGAGGTGAAATATATTTTGATCTTACATTAAACTAAACAAATTTTCTTTTTATTATATGCATAGAAACGTTTAAAAAGACATTTTAAGTTAGTACTAATTGAAAATGGCGCCAAATAATAATACAACGTGACGTCATTTACGACGTCACGTCATTAAGTTGGTTTCCAGTACTGTGAACGCTTGTATTTCACTGAAGCAACGTACTGGGCTCAAATATTCAAAACAGTGAAATTATCAAATTGGTAATTTCACTGTTTCAAACAATGAAATTACCAGTTTTTAACTCACTGATATATTTCTATAAACCATCGAAAAGCATGTAATAAATAAACACATCTCTTTAAAGATGCAAAATTTAAACTCGGCGTTCAGTGACGAATACCTTTTGTGACAAGTTCTTGTGTGTACTACATGACAATCAATTAATTTAATCTGTGCAAGTGTGTAATCTCACCTCCTCTCTAGTCATCGAGGTCAGTTTCTGGATACATATGTAATGAAATTAATTTACTTAATATCTATCATCATACCTGGTGTATATTTGATATATAATAACAATGACGGAAGCTGAGGGTAAAATTCAGACAGGTAGGAATATATTACAAATTCATTTGTTAGAGAAAAACTTATAATTATTTATTAAATTTCTTTTTCGCGATTTATGTTGGGGAAAAAGATGTATTTCATTCAAAAACATTATATTTTATTTGTTTCATATATGTTTGATGACCACAAGTATAGAACTACGTTATTCCTCAAATTCATACACTCTAAAATTTACGCACATTTATTATAACAAATTTTTTCAACATTTAACAAATTCAGCATGGGAAGGATTAAATAAGTAGACGGATAAACTCAATGTTTCATCGTTATATTTGCATCATTATTAAATAACAGATATAGACAGCATTTAAATATGTAGGAAAGTGTGCAGTCATATTTTTAAAGTTTCGGATTCAATGATTAATAAGACAATTAAGTTTGCATAATTGATCTTTAAACATTTGTTTGTGTGAATATGTATTTGTCTTAATCTATTTAGTATTAGGATGCATTAAACCAGAGGATGCTGGCTTTACGTTGGCCCATGAACATCTTATATGTAACTTTGATTACCTAGTAGAAAGCATGCCTAAAACTGAGTTTCCAGAATACTGCAAGCGTCCGTTGGCTCCTGATTTTGGATGGTGGGTCACACAATATCCGTGAGTATATATTTTAGGCAGTTAATTTTAAGCTCGATTTTGTCACATAATTTCCATGGAAATAAGTCTGAATATAATGTGATTGTCTACACTAAACATGTCACAGAATGTACTGAAAATAATGATCATTATTCACAGTAAAAAAAAAAATCAATGATATCAGCATACACGTTAAGAATGTATTCTTTGAAATATTAAATTACATTATCTAAATGCCGTCATTTTTGTTTCGTTCAATATACCATATAAGATCGTTGTTACTTAAAACGGTACCCTGCATTATGTTACAAAAATAAAACAAAATTTAAAGAAAACCTGAAAAATAAAATCAACGTTAACATCAAAATTGCTCATTCATATGAATATCATCAGGTTTGTCTTTGAAAGATGTTTTCAAGATCTGATATTTATAACCATTTCAGATATTCAAGTGCCGATAATAACCATTTGTTTGAAGAGACCGATGCAATAAGAGACGAACTTCATTTCTTTAAAGTAAATATCATTTTAAATATCTCACTAGTAATGTTAAGTTAACACTTAAGCATATCAGCCAATGATGTTCTACAACACCAGTTTACACAATGTTATGAAATCAATATAATTAAGTCAAATCAAAATATGTTAAAAATCCTTAACAGGTAAGAGCAGAAAGAGATTGACTTTTACCTGTAGTAAAGAGCAAGACCACTCTGCACATCAGTATGGTGACGGATTTGTGTCATGTCGTTTTTTTTCGCTCCACGTGGCAATATGAAAATATTAAACAGTTACCCAAAATACGACAAAGTGGTGATTGTCGTATTATTTTGTTTTTGTCTTGCGCCTCGCGGAGCAAAGTACGCGGGGGACAAATCAGCCGCAATACATCTGTGAATTATGCCTAGACTTTATACTGTATGTCTACAATGGACATCTTTTTCATAATTATACAAACAATAGAAATGTATCACTGGATGTTCTTTGAGGGTCAACGTATTCTGCAGAATAATCCAATACATGTGCATAATCATATCAACTCACATGACGTCAATTGTTTTGTCATATTCATAGCCCCTTTGATTAGAATAATATATAAAGTACCAATTATTAATATATTATATATTAATTCTATATGCCGAATTCTTTGTTTTTTCTCAGAAATGTGGAGGAGGCACGATTGTAGAAAATACAACGTACGGGATCGAACCCGATCCAAAGACACTTGCCAAACTATCTGCAGATACTGGGGTGCACCTTATAGCTGGGACAGGTAAGTACATAATTATATGAGAACATCTTGAAGCAAGCAGAACAGGGTCTTAATGAATTGCGGATGAACCTTTTGTGGTAAAATAGAGTATTACTCGTACAGGAGCATATTGATCATTAATTTATACTTTATTTTTTATGTACCAAGTGGACTTGCAAAAGTGTAAGATGCGTCGCGTCCCAGTCCATTCCACGAAAGCAAAAATAAATACATGAAAAACATAGTAAAATATACGAGTGTCAAACAAAATTAAAATACACGAGAGCCGAAATCAAAAGTAAAACACAAGAAGAAATTTTTAAAGTAAATTACATGAAAGGCAAAGTAAAATATACAGGACTGTGTAATAACTATGAAAGCAAATGTGAGTATATATATTTTTGAAACACAATATTAAGATACTAAAAATAGAAAGTTTTTGATAAATAAAAATAATAGCCTTTCCGAGGCAAATGGGCCTTTAATAAGACGCTATTTAATAAGCTACAATCGCTTGCCTGTTTTCTATTGTTTGTTTGTTTTCGTTGTCATAATTTCTTTTTTGTGTTTAAATATAGCATAAAAAGAATCGGTAAAAATAAAACTTTTGTCGCAAAACATGTACAAAAAAGCAATGTCTTAACTTAAATATTTCAGGGTATTACATAGAACCATCGAGACCCGGTACGGCACATTTAACCCAAGAGAAGTATGCTGAGCTTATGTTAAAAGAACTAACTGAAGGGTGCGCGGGAACTAGTGTTAAAGCCGGGATAATTGGAGAAGTGGGTTGTTCCTGGCCAATGACAGGTAATATTCTATTGCCTGTACATGTACGTAGAATCTGGCTTCTTTTAACACGTACAGCATTCCATTAAAAGGGAGAGGGTTTAGTTTTCAGTTGTTTGTTTTTGTTTTTTGTTGTTTTTTGTTTGTTTTTGTTGTTTTTGTTGTTGTTTTTGTGGGGGGTATGTTTTTGTAACATTTGTTTTTCTGTATAATTTCCGAATATTTTGTTTAAAATTCTACACGCTGTAGGCGGCCATAATATAAATATTTAGACATTAGTGTCATTAAAAACCTGGCAAGGCTTTTTAGAAAATAAAACTTTACTTGTCCTTTAATGGGGTACGCAGCTTCCCATACATAGCTCATTAATCCTTAGATTAAAATTAAGCACATTCTAACATTCTATAAGAATTTCGTAGATTTCAACAAATTACTGTGGTTACAATATTTTACTCAAGGATGAGCATAATATATCTTTAAAAAACAGTATTATAGTTTCAAATATCATTTCGAAATTGTTTATACTTTTCTAATACGTTGAATAATTTACAATTTCTTCTCTTAGTTTTCTAAGAATTTCTTTATTTTCCGAATTCTTTTTTATTTCTTTTCTGTTATTTATACATGTACATCATTTCTACTTGTTATCTTTTAAGTAATGGTCAAAGTAGCTTTCAATGAAATACAATTTAACGAAACTGAACATTATTAAAAATGCTTGTCAGTATGGGTAAGCTAGTTTATTAAGCAATGTCTTATTTTGCTAATTTAAGATTCAGAGAGAAAAGTTCTTCGTGCTACTGCTGAAGTCGAGGCTGCAACCGGATGTCCAGTAATAATACACCCTGGCTGGAACTCGGCCGCGCCATTTGAAATAATGAAAATTTACCAAGAGGCCGGGGGACATGCTGACAGAGTTGTTATGTCTCATATGGACAGTAAGATCTTTTTCTTTCATCATAATCATTTGTTCTTTAAGTTGAAAACTTATTCTTACATATAAAACAAAATAAGAAAGGTCACACATTACGTACATTTTATATGGAAGTGGTCATTGCTAGTAAACGATTCCTTAAATTTCGGAGGAAATATAAGAAATATAATAAGTTAAAAGTGCTCCAATAAGCACTTGACATGCAAACAAATAAAAGAATCCACTAGGCTAGAAATATGATTCTTTAAGTAAGCTAAAATAAATTGCAGACATTTACAAATTACCGTCATAAACCTAGTATAACTGACGTGTTTTATATCACTTTTCGTTTCGCAAATTCCCTTCTTTTTGTCGTTAAATTTTATTTTTTAAGATATTATATGAATGTCTTCTTCATTTATTCACAGGGACATTTTTCAACATTCCCGAGCTACTGGAATTTGCTGCAACTGGCTGTTACGTCGAATACGACCATTTTGGACTTGAGACGTCATATTATCAACTTCATGACGACACGGACATGCCTTGTGACGCCACAAGAATCAAGAATATATCGGCTCTCATAGAAGCCGGGTACCAAGATAGGATAACAGTTGGCCATGACATTCATACTAAGCATACTTTGGTAGGTAACATTCAAACTTTCGATGCCGATGACCATTTTATTCCTACATGTACGCCTTCGTAAAGTACGGATTAATTATGTATCTTTGGTTTGGTGCGTTTTACTTGGAATACTTCCAATACTTGAAGTATATTTGTATTACAAAAACATAATTGCATTTTTTTACCCTGATCAACAAATACAGGATGAGTATATTTATAGTCCTTATTTTAGCATGGGAGTTTTACGAAAATTATCGTTTCCATTAGTTTCATACAAGCACCTTAGTTCTCAAAAATCAAAATACGTAATATTATAGGTTGTTCTGGTGTACATAAAAGGGTTGTATTAAAATTTTGTCTTTAAAATCAATGTTAAGTATACATGTTGAAAGGGATTTCCCTTGTCGTTTAATTATCTTTGAGCTGTTAATTTACTTCTTCAAAGTTTTTTCTAAATGGAAAATTTGATACGGAAGGTCTTACCTTCATAATAATCTGACTAAAGTTCAGATCTACTAAAGGTATCTCATGCATGTAGATTGTTTAACCATACAGTTTACCTGTCTGCTGTGTGGGCAACGCCAAAATTGTTTCTCAATTACCTACTCAGTATTGGTTTTCCATCGGTTGAAATTAGAATCCACATTGCTTTTAAAATTGTGAAAGCTCGCCGAGGATTGGCTGCTTGAAAGGTCACGAGGGGACAATCTAATGCGTAGCTTCAATAAAGAGTAATCCGATTGACGTTCATTCGTATATAGCTCGTGTCGGCTTTAATAATTGTCTGCACCTTTTGAAATTATACAAGTAACAGTTTCTATGGAAGGAAAATCTTCTAACCTTAACTCTCTTAAATTATTTAGATTCGTTGAAAGTACATAAAAGTCGACTGTGCAAAAAACTGGAAAATATCATTGATCGTTAAACTACAGTGTCATGTTCAATATGTTTTCATTATTTGCGGTTGTTGTTTCAGATGAAATATGGCGGTCATGGATTTTCACATATGCTGCTTCAAGTTGTGCCGAGAATGTTAGCACGCGGGATCTCGCGAGATAATGTTGATAAAATAATGAAGTACAATCCGCAAACATGGCTTACCTTCACTAAACATAATTATTGACAATATAAACTACTATATAACAAGTATATAGAAAATTAAGAACCTGAACCAGCTCTGGTGTTGACGTGTTGACCTATTTTAATTTCTGCTTATTTTGATTACTAAATGTTTATAACAAGGTTGAAGTTGTTTCTGCACATGTTTACATGTTTTGATTTTCTTTGCTTACTATTAAGAATATTGTTTCAATATTCATTTTGACAAGATACCAAAACATTAGAAAATGTTATGCTATACAATGAAGAATAAAACATTTAAAAAAACAAACAAATGGTTGCCATTCAACCATTGAAAACCAGGTGTCGCATCACTAGAGTCTTTCTATTGCCCAGTACAAATATCTATTTTCACCCACATGTATTTTCAAAGCTTGTAAAACTCGGATTTATCGAAAGAGTACACAAAATACAAGAACCAAGAAATGAGCCGCGTCACGACAAAACCAACATAATGGGTTTGCGACCAGCATGGATCCAGACCAGCCTGCGTATCCGCGCAGTCTAATCAGGATCCATGCTGTTCGCTTACAAACCATATAACAAGTAGAGAAACTGATAGCGAACAGCATGGATCCTGATCAGACTGCGTGGATGCACAGGCTGGTCTGGATCCATGCTGGTCGCAAACGCATAACGTTTGTTTTGTTGTGACGCGGCTCAAATATCTTTTAAAAGATACTCCACGACGTTTATATTGCATAACAATGACAATTCTGCATAACAATGACAATTCTTGTAGAGTTATTTATCTTGAAAAATGATATGCAAAAAGATATGAAATTGAACACCCAAATACAGACATTAGTAATCATTTAACACCGAGCACCATAAACTTAGAGTACCTTATATAAGTTTCGATATAATTCTCGTTATTTGACAAAAATTAACACTCTGATCCGGTGTAAAATAAACTCGTGTAGGTAGTTCTATGCAGTGTAAAATTGTGGAAAGATTGTTACAGATTGTTACAGAGCAATTTAATTAAAGTTATACAACTATCTTGTGAAATCCTTTACATTATATTTTATGATGGCAAGAACTATCCTTTTGCATTTTAGTTTAAAACTATCTTAGAATGATAAGAACTATCCTTTACATTATATTTAATAGCCAATCAGATTCCCAGATTTAATTTCAATTTTAAAATGACCAATGAAAACTTTTATGTTCAGTTTTTCCCTGTAAAGTCAAACTGATTTAGACCGATCTTCGGCCTGAAAATTTATCGTTCCCTGAAGGACGAATATTTCCACACGCTCAACTTAAGTGAGAATCAATATGTTTACTCTTAATTTTTGCTTAAATTAGTAATAATTATAGCCATAGTTCTTTGAACTCGTTGCGCTACTAAACGGGAGATGACAAATCTTGCATGTCAACAGGGGACAGTGTGACTGCCTAAAACATAAGGTTCGGAAAGTATTAGCAAACTTGATTGTGCAGCTCCCGATTACACAATTCGGGTAATATGAAATTGTGTCAAGACACAACACCTGGCAGGTTAAAAAATGGTTCAAGACGAAACAAGAAGTTCGGCGGAAGTTGCCGAAATTATCTCTCGAAGTTCCAACGCTATGTGTTTTTCTGTGTACCTTAATGACGTCACATTAAGTTTCCAAACATGTTTGAAAAGAAAGGTGCAACAATTAAAGTAGCTCCCAATCAGGATTGCCCTAGGACAGACTAAGTGAAGTCTTACAAGTTATAACTAACAGTCTTACAGGTCTCGGAAAAACATTTTTAATTTAGTATGATATGTGAAACTTGTCAAAAATAATCCGCAGGCAATGCTTCTCTTACACAACTATTTTTGCATTAGCATAATGCATATTCAGCGTCTGTTTCAATGTTGATTCAATATAATATATAAATATATATGACTATCAATGTCAGTCTTTTATCATCGTTTATAATGAAAGAGTAATTTCTGTTGGATTGGGGTAAGTGCGCGAATCTTTGCGAGAATACAATCCGCCATTACCTTTTTCTAAAGACCATGCAAATATTCATGTTTTTTTATTAGATCTACATAGTATACATTTTAAATAACCGATAGATCTATTACTGTGTTGATAATTTTAGGATCATTACGGATCATTACACTTTAATATTGTGCAAGTCATACATACTAGTGTTCGTATTTCTTTCTGTAGTCTTCGTACAGACGTTAAAACGACGGACAGTTGAGCAGACACTAAGTCTTATCCTTGGCTTTGCCTATTAATTTGATTATACTATTGGCAGTCGGTTCTTACGTCTATAATATGGCTAATTTGGGGTAAAAATGTATCCACTTTAAATGATAATAAAGCAATGTTTATTTCAATAAAGTTTTAATATTCTACTCATAAACAAGTAATGTGAACAAAGAACAACTCAACAATAACGTTAAGTTGGTTTAGTTCTCCTATCCTGCAAGAGCAGCTGAAGCAGCTGCAATCTGAAACGATAAATACAAATCTTTTACTATCTAAATAAATATTCAGCTTTTAAAATAAAAGTCCTTCCCATTTATCTTTTCCAACATTTCGGCAACGAAAATTATAAATTGCAGGGAGTATTTGTATGGTATAGAAATGTTAATAAATTAATTGAAAACGGACAATGGTAGAAGGGTTGATGGAAACATCACAAAACTTTTGACACAAAACTTAACAAATGCATGTACCAAGGGCCTGTCTTACGCTTTGTATGGCATAATAAATGGCCTAAGTGGTTTACTGCCAACATCAATTTACCGTTGTCGGTTTGAATCCAAGGAGGGGTTTTATTTTTATGCGAAAAGCTATCTATAGCTTATAAAATGTTGGTAATACTAGCATTCCCTGTTAAGCCTTAAATACAAAGAGGGGTATCTACGGAATTTTTTAATCAGTAAAGATAAAAAGCCGCTGTTTGACCATTATAGTGTTGATGCCACTTGAACAACCGGCAAAACAAGCAAGATGTTAAAAAGAGAAACAGAAAACATGGCTATGTTACTTACAATGCCCATTGTGAGGAATATAAAACGCTTCTCAGGCCTCGTTTCCCTCTGCAATTCCGGGTAGTGTTCCCCTACAGTTTCGGAAACGTCGTCAAATGTCCTAGCACACAAGTCATATAATTCTTTTGACTCCTCAAACAGAAGTTTGGACATTTCTTCGACAGACCATTCACCTGCTACTGTGGATTCAGCTCGGAGACCTGCAAAGTCATGTAGTTGAATTTATTTCTTTTAAATAATTTAATATGCAAAACCTGTGACTCAATAGTAAACTAGAAATGTGTCCATAGGACACGGGTGCCCCCACACTCCACTGTCAATCTTATGACTCTAGGTAATATATATTTTGGGCTACATGTGTCACAAGTTGAAAACTAAAAATCTTTTACTAAGTAAAAGGCAAGACCTTTACAAATACTGAATAAATCCAGAAGCAAACCCCAATGTGCATAAGTACATATGCTGACCAACATTCTTGTAAACTTTCAGGCCTGCAGGACAAATACATTTTGAGCTATGCATGAACAAGTTGGAAATTGCAAAACTATACTACCGTAAGTCAAGGGCAATAACTCTAAGGAAACTGAAAAAAATCTACATGCAAAGTCCCAGGTGCATAGCTTCACAGTGATACAGTGATGTTATCATTATTGCTGTAAAGTTGTTGTTTCTAACTCAAGCACTCAATGAACAAATTATAATATCACAACATAATGAAACAGTTTTTACAAAGTCAAGGTCAAAAACAAATTCTGGATAAATCCACAGGAGAAACCCAAGGTGCACAACTTCACATGCTGATCAACATTCCTGTAAAGTTTCATGACCCTATATCAAATAGTTTGAGCTACGTGTAACACAAGTTGAAAATTACAAATTTTTACTAAGTCAAGAACAAAAACTCTAAAAACTCACAAAAATACTAAATAAATCCACATGAAAATACCTAGACCTGTGCACAACTACATATGCTGATCAATATTCCTGTCAAGTTTCATGACTCTAGATCAAATACCTTTTGAGCCACGTGTGACACAAAAGAGATCGGACGGACGGAAGGACAGCAGACGGACAAGGGTTAAATTAAATGCCCCCCCCCCCTCAATGTGGGGCACAAAAAAGTCTGCAAGTGTCGTGGTATGTAACGCAGAGCAATCAATTATTTGAAATTAAAAGTCAAACACTGCTGCAGGTGGTAGAAATTATATTTCTATTTACTACTAAAATAATGTAATAAGTTCTCAGAAATTTTATTCTTATTGAGTAACTTTGTTTAAATCTCGATCACAGTAGAATCTCTACTTAAGACCACTCTATTCAGACCTTTAAAAGTACGGAATTTTCAAATCTTTATGTAAGTGGTTATATGACCCAGAATGAAGACCACGTCGCTTTCCCAAATTACACCACCAAATTAAGACCCAATTCTTGTTTTGTTCTTTGACCCCACTATTGAGACCACCGATTTAAAAACACCTTGAAAACACCTTATAATTTGGATATTGTATTAAATAAGGTGAGAATCTAAATTTTATAGGTGGTTGAATGTTGCTTTTGCGAAGAATTTTTTATTATTCGATGGGTGAATTATGTACATCATATAATATTGAAATCAAACCAAATAGAATTTGATATAAATTTCTTTCTCCCCATCAGATGTTAATAACATTTTTATATTGTATTTGTAGGTGGATACATTTTGTTTGTTCATACAAAATGACTTAAATAGACCATGGTCAAAAAGTGTGTAAGAAATAATATTCACAATTAAGACCACCCCGCAATTAAGACCACTTTGGTCCAGTCCCGATAGTGGTATTTATTTAGGGTTTTTACTGTATTGTACATTTTCAATATTCGAAGTTATGATCCACCAGGCGCGTGGAATTTATTTCAAGATATAGAATAAAGAACATGTGTTTGGTTTGAGAAAATGTGTACCTTAACAATATGGCATTTCTTTTCAAAATATTTTCACGAGCGCCAATTGCTAGTAAAATTGTGGATACTGTTTGGCAAAATGGACCCAACATTTGAATGTTCAATGACCTTTGGTCGGTAATTGTTGCATTTCGTAGTAAATCACACATATTTAAAAAGACTGGCATAACGGTATACATGATATATGTATAACTAAGTTACCGACACACTTGCCTTACTAGCCTTAGTGATATAGAATTAAGATTTATTGAAGAACTGAATCTGAATTATTGGATTATGTTTTTTTTATTGTAATATTCTGCGAAACTTTACTACTAAGTTTTTTTGTGCATGCCAATCATCCATTTGTGCGACTGTAAAATTTGATTATGAGAATTTACAATCAAAGTTATGATTTTCGCGACTGCTACGCTATCCTAACCACTAGGCCATTGGGACGCAAGTATCAGATAAAGTATCAGAACTTTCCAATCATTTAAATCTTTCAGTAAACCGTACTTAATTACAGAAACCAACGAATAACGAATCAAATATTCATAAATGAAATATATCCGGAAAGTCAAGACTCTTGTCAAAATGTTTGTAAAATGAATTTTTAGCAAAGTGAAAAGTATGTTATTACATTTAACTAGAACTCCGCGAGTCGGATGTGTCGCCTTGTGAACAATATAGTTTAGGAGAAATGGCCAGGACAAAAATGAAATTTGAAAATCAACAAAGGGCAATAACTCAAAAATAAGAAATGCAGAGCATCAGTTTCTGTGTACTGCACTTCTTATCAATAAGATCTATCATCCTATGAAGTTTCAAGTCTAAAGCTTTTATAATTTATGAGAAATGACCTGGACAAAAATAAAGTATGAAAATTAACAAAGGGCAATAACTCAAAAAATAAGAAATGCAGAGAACCAGTTCTTGAGCACTGCACCTCTTCTTAATGAGATCTATTATCCTATGAAGTTTCATGACCATAGCTTTTATACTTTAGAAGAAATGGCCTGGACAAAAATAAAGTATGAAAATTAACAAAGAGCAATAACTCAAAAAGAAATGCAGATTACCAGTTCTTGTGCACTGCACTTCTTAATGAGATCTATCATACTATGAAGTTTCAAGTCCATAGATTTTATATTTTAGGAGAAATGGCCCGGACAACAATAAAGTATGAAAATTAACAAAGGGCAATAACTCAATAAATAAGAGGTGCAGAGTACCGGTTCTTGTGCACTGCACTTCGGGTCATTATAAGAAGCATGCATACCAAGTTTGAAGTCAATCCGACTTATAATGACTGACTTATGCTCCGGACAAGCTTAAGGGGACGCCGACACCGACAACGACACCGACAACGACACCGACGACAAAAGTAACCCCTATATGTCGCCTTTTAAAGGCGACACAAAAATACATCAGTCTATAAATAATGGTTGTGTGAGCAAGTGTAAAAATCATTTTTCAGTGACCTTGTTTGTTAATTTTGTTCTACGGAGTAACACGCCATGGGTCATATGGCGTCGCAACACAGATGATTTTAGCAAACATCGGGTGTTAAAACACCATGGGTTAAAACCAGCTCACCTTCTGGACCTTAAAAGTTCACAGACTTCCAATCATAATATAAACGGTTCGCTAAGCCACAAGGGTTTTATTGACCTTTGAATTTTAGCACTGGTGACTATAAAATCACAAACTGAGAATCAACAAAAGTATCTCTAATTATGGAAGATGTCGATCAATACTTAAGTTAAAGATCCCACTTGCCGGTATGTTTTGTGCATTTCAGGTACAATGTCTCGAAGACATGAAGAAAATGGAAATAACAAAGGTAAATAGATTCTATATTTATGCAACTTGCACAGAGCATTTTATTTGTATTGATATGCCAGATTGCAATGGGTACAGAAAAAGGATGGAAAATATATTCGACTTTCCGGAATCCTCAATTATACCTTTTATAAAAACCGTAATATAGGGGAAAATTAATGCCTCAAAATGTGTAACTTGCTATGATCATAAAGATCATGGATTTTGCATAGTTTTGAATATGTTACACAACAAAAACGTCAGCAAAGTTGTTTACTTAAAGTACAAAAGGACCCAAAGTATTAAACAGAAATCACTTGATACATTCGGTATTCAGTTGGTTAGCGTAAATTATGAAGTGTACAGGAATAAAATATTTTACCTGGTGGGTTAGGCCTAGACTTCTTTGGACCAGATCTCATCAGTTTCATAACAGCTTCAACATTTTCTCTTTCAGCATAAAGGTTCGTACCTGCACAAATAAAGTAATGCTCTATTTACAATGTATCCATTGCCAACAACAAAAACGCGGTTTCTCAATAAAGAGCATCAAAGCTGATCTACTTTAAATTATCGGAAGCATTTGAATATATTTTGTTTCCAGGTGATATAATGTTTGGTTTTGATGTTTTGCTTACGTTCTGTGTCGTTTCACAGTTGAAACAGATTTGATGAACTTTTCATCTTTACCCTTCTGGACTTCTCGAATGTGCAGCATGAACATGCTCTATTGTTAGATGTATTAGAGCACCATTATATCAAACATCAAAATGACGTATCCAAATCAAAACTAAGGTAACTCAAACATTAAGCTTTTTGGGGTTTAATCAAATACTCATTTTGATATTTTGACAATTATAAAAAAGCTTCATTTCTTTGTAATGATTGATCCAAAAATAAGATAACTTACATTGTAAAAGACCAAAGTTTTCTTCAGCATATTTTTCTATTTTCTCTTTCTCGTGTTCGTCAGACTCCTGAAAAACAATCGAAAAATTATCAGCGCAACAGGTTTAAACCTGAAATATGTAGGAAACATTTGTGAACAGGCAAGTCGTAACAATTGGGAGACAAAATATAGATGTAATGTTGCATTCTTAAAAGAATTTTAATTCAGGATAAAAATTAAATGGTTAATTTTCTAAAGTTCAATGGTTAAGCATAGCTGAATGTGCTAAAACATTGTTTTTGTATACATGACGGGCACGCTTCACTATTATCAAATATAAAGGTTTAATTTTTAAATTTGTATGTGGATTTCGTTTATAATGGTAGCTTATAAGGCCATAAATGGCGATTGTCTTGCACTATTATCTATCAAAAATAAGAGGACATGTGACTAGGACACAAGGTACTGCTTTATTTGGAATTATTTTGAAAATTCTTTATGTTTAGTGCAATAAATTAGCATTCCTCTGCATTACCGACAAAATCGATTTTGCCATTATTTTAGCAAAAGGCATTACTTTGCACATGTATTTAAATACTGAGTACGAAGGTAAATATTCTAGTTATCTTATTTACTTTAGTTGTATAGGTTTTCAAACAAATTTTGAAAGTGCAACCGCAAATCGTTTCCTTTACATTTCCGGCTTTGTTTTTATATGAATTTGGCCTACTTTCACTTAGAACCCAGAACCCACTTGGTGAATAACAAACATGGCCGACAATGCGGAATCACCTTGAAAGCAAATTTTATAGTTTACATCTTTTACCAGATATGAAAATACTTTAACTGTAAATGTATGTAATACTCGTAATTTAAGGTTTGTGTCAAATATTTTGAAATAAAGTATAGTATGCTTGAATACAATGTAGTTAAACTGTGCAGATTATATTTCAATAAAATTGTTAAAGTATCTAAATTTAAAGCAGTATGCCTCCAGATTTAAGCCGATTTTAATAAACAAATTTTAAAAAGGTATTTAAATGTAAAATAGTGTTAGTTGAGAAAGAGTTTTTAAATTGCACTTTGTGAACGTCACTTTATGCTATTTTAAAGTTAAAAAGAAAATGCTAAAATATAATATTGAAATATAGCTCTTGCTGCGTTAGTCACACAGAGGAAAACATCATCGTGATAAACAAGGCAAAGTCATTCATTGTATACACATGCAAATCATTACTTGAATTGTTTATACATGTACTTTAAAATAATCTAAATATCAGATA